CAAACCCCAGCAGACCCACAGGGCTCATTGGCATGGGGATCAGCCTCAGACCCTGGAAGATGATGCTGCTGCCCAGGGCAGGCGTTAGCAGTGTCTGCCCCAAACTTGAGCAGCCTCAGTGGGGAGAAATCACATCCCCACTGGCCTCTGACACCTTCTGACCTGCTGTGGGACAGGCCCTGAAAACCTGGGGGGTGTTTGCTAAACACCAGTTTGGGTGCTGCCACCTCAGTGGGCGTTGAACCTGGCTGTTCCTGTGGGAAGCACAGCCCAGTTTGTGCAGTGACGGGGATGTGATTTGGGAGGTGCAGGGAGCCTGGCTTTCTCAGGATGGGGTGATCAAGTGCAAATGTCAATTTGTACTGGTATAGTGTATCTGACCCAACAGTTTCCCTTTCCTTAGTGCTTTCAGTGTAGTTATTTCCTCCATATCAATACAAAAAGCATTTTCCATCCCTTGATTTGTATGGAAGCCAAAGGGATTATCCCCAGAGTTAAATACTGGATGCATGAGATTATGCACACAGTGGAGACAGAGCCGTGCCAGCACATCATCAGATCATAACTTTGACAGAGAACTAAGGATGTAAAAAGAGAGTAATGCTGCATTACTTACAGGTGGTAACGGCTGCTGCTTCAGTAGTTGGAAAGACTGATAGAGTGGATGGGTTTGTTATTGTGAGAAGAGAAAAGATGAAATTAAACACTGTCCATGCTTTAAATATATTGAAGACTCACATTTTAAAGTAGTGACCTGCTCACCACAGTTCAGTAAATGACCAGAAATAAATACCTGCTTGTTCAGTTGCTGTGGGCTCGGTTGGGACTGTTAAAGAGAAAGCAAAAGCCACGCTTCAGTAACTGTTCATTGCTGTGTGAGCAGAGCAAGGGCTGCTGACAGGGAGGGAACCAGTGCTTTACTCCCAGCATCAAGCATTAGCCCAATTCTGCTAAAGCTGAAGTCATACATACCTGTTGCTTCAGGTGTTGTGTCTGCTGCAGGGGCTGGTTTGAGACAGGAGAGAAAACACAACTGCAGGGTAGGTCTTGTTCCAGCACTGGGTGCGTGTGAGATACCCAAACCCCAGCAGACCCACAGGGCTCATTGGTGTGGGGATCAGCCACTGGTGGTGTGTGTGTTCCCCAGTGGTTTCCCCTTCCCTAGTGCTTCACCAGTGTAGATATTTCTCCTGCACTGGTACCAAGCCCATTTCCCTCCTTTATTGTATATAGAAGCCAAAGGAGAGGCAATTGGGACTATCCCTGATGCTAATGATTAGATCCATGAGGTTACACATGCACACAGAGAGCCAGTCAATATCTGATCACAACTTGGGCAGACAACTAAGCATGCAAGCCAGAGTAACGCTGTATTACTTACGAGCGGTAACATCTGCTGGTCCAGGACTAGGAGCGACTGTTACTGTGAGAAAGAAAAGATGATATTAAATACTGCCTGCATTTTAAATGTATGTTTTTGCCCCAGAATCCATAGCACCATCAGCCACTTGCAATATCACACAAAGCCATGTAACTGGAAAACATCTGGCTGCAGGGCTGGACATAGCCAGAGTATTGCTGCGATCAGCTGTGAGCACACATGCTGTGGTGATACAGCTGAGACGATAGTGTGCTTCACCTCCAAAATCCATACAGTGAGACCCTGAGCTTGAGCAGGAAAACAAATAATGCAGCTGGGCAGGGCACAGCTCTGGAAGCCAGCATTGCTGTGCCAGAAAGGCAGGTAGTCCCCTAAATCCTGAATGGAGACTGAAAATGTGAATTCCTGAGAGTCAATGCCTTGGGAGTGCTGTGTGAGTCGGGATCCTGCTGACCTTCATGGTCTGACAGCACCTCTGCTCACCACGGTTTGATAGTGAGCAGAAATACATACCTGGTGTTTCAGCCGTCGTGGACTCGGTTGGGACTGTCCAAGAGAAAATAAAAGCCTCGCTTCAGTAATTTTTCCAATACTGAGTGAGCAAAGCATAGACTGACAAAAACAAAGCAACCTTATACTTTAGGGGTAATTAGACCTGATATAATGAGATGCCCAATCCAGCTACATTACAGCAATTTGCCCCATAATTTGGCATTTGTATGGTGGTATTTCCACTGCCCTTAAGGGTGGATGGAGTCCATGTGTATGGTTGTGTGTATCTCCACAGAGGTCCAGTGTGGCAGGACACCTCTGTCCTCAGATGCCACCAGTTCACCTGGACACCTTGAGTTTCTGGGGGCTAATGGTGAGGTAAGGGATCTCTCACGTCTGAGAGAGCACGAATTTCAGCTCAGTGCTGCTAAAGTCCAGGAGAATCAGTGCTCTGCTGTGGGATAAGTTGTATTTAACTAAACCTGAGATAAATAAACCAAGACTGAAGTACCCCGTACCTGTTGCTGCAGGTGTGGTGGGCTTCTCAGGAACTGTCAGGAGAGAAAATAAAAACCATCAAAAGAAGGAAACCGAGACTGATGCTTTCAGTTATACGATGTGGTAAGCAGCAGCACAGTCAGGGTTCTCCCCAGAACTGACCCTTGGAGAAGGCTTTAGGTGTTTCTGCCTGGCCATTGGTGTTTCTGCCATGACATTTTCAATGCCACCCTGTGCAATGAGTATGGAGAAGACTCAGCCCCACTCTGTGTGCTCTCTGGTGAAAGAAAACCACTAGATATGCTAGAAGGTCAGGCTGAGCCTTGGTGTTGGAAAACACTCTGGGCCAGCCAGACCCAGAGAATAGATTGTGTAGTAGATATTCCAATTTAAGTCCTTTAGCCCAATCATATTATTATAATTTATAATAACATTTTGCTTTGTTTGTACATACAGTCTAGTCTGCCATCCTTAAACTAATACGGGACAGTGACCATCAACTAAGAACAGTGCATGGTACCAGAAAGAGAGGAGAGGAAAAGAAATAACAAATAAAAACAAAGTGAAAAGATGGGCTTCTTCAGAGGGGTAGTAGAAGCCTTATTCATTCCTTCAGGAATATGTAATCTCAAGGCTATTGTTATTGTCAGACTGCAAGTCTCTCGGGCAAGTAGTTTTGGTCCCAAAAGCAGATTCAGGTCGGTCTGCCAAAACCTGCTGGTGGTCCTCTCTGGAAGAAAATGCTATAGCCCTGCTCTTCACCTCTGCTTCCCCCAGACTCAGGTAGAGGAATCCCTTGTTGGAAGGACAAGATGGCCCCAGAATGTATGAAGACCACAGGAGCTGGTCCCACCTATGACCAGGGTGCCCTTGCCCATCCTTCTTGGCTCTCATCGGCCTCCCCTCTCTGTGCATGGCCAAAGGTCCCCATTCCCACAGTGGCTCCCCCTTTGTGCCAAGCTTCTTTCACCCATACTGGCTTGCATGCATGGTTTAGAAAACTGAATTCACATTAATTAAGCTGGAAAAGGTGAGTACCTTTGCAGATAACACCAGCGTCTTCTTTGTGGAAGCAGTCGTGAGTGCCCAGCCCCTTGTGAGAGCACTGCTCCAGAGAGGCCTCATCCCCGCTGCACGTCACTTCGTCCAGGTGAATTTCTCCTGTGCCTTCCCCAAAAAAGGCATCGGTTTTGACTGACACAGCCTCTCCACAGCCCAGCTGCTCGCACACTACAGCGGCGTCCTTCATGCTCCAGCCATCATCGCAGATGGTTCCCCAGCTCCCGTTGTGAAAGACTTCAACGCGTCCTGAGCACGCGTTCTCTCCATTCACTAGTCTCAGGGACATGTCTTGGAAAAGCAGAGGGGAATGCATGAGCACTCAGCAGCTGCAGAAATGGGCTTTCAGGTGCGTTTATCAAATAGCAAAAGCCAGTTTTGTTGTGTTGCACAGAAAGTGGTAAAATATGAAATTAATCTTATTGTAAGAAGCCACATTTTGTCAGCTATCATAAATCCTTACTCTCATAGTGTGCAACATACACCTTTGAATAAATATAAAGATTTTCTTTTCTTTTTCAGGCTCTGATGTATGTCATAGAAATCCCAGCACGGTTTGGTTTGGAAAAGACCTCAAAGCCACCCCCAGTCCAACCCCCATGGCAGGGACACCTCCACCAGCCCAGGCTGCTCCAAGCCCCGTCCAACCTGGCCTTGGGCACTGCCAGGGAGGGGGCACCCACAGCTTCTCTGGGCAACCTGGGCCAGGGCCTCACCACCCTCACAGGGGAGAATTTCTTCCTAATATCCAGTCTAAATCTCCCCTCTTCCAGTTTAAAACCATTCCCCCTTGTTCTATCGCTCCCTGCTCTTGTAAAAAGTCCCTCCCCAGCTTTCCTGTAGAACTCCTTCAGGAACTGGAAGACTGCAATAAGGTCTCCCTGGAGCCTTCTCTTCTCCAGGCTGAACAGCCCCTTCTCTCTCAACCTGTCTTCATAGGGAAGGTGCTCCAGCCCTCTGATTATCACTAACATAACCATTCCTATTGATACCAGTACTCTTTAACAGCAAAACTCTTTAAGTAAGCCTCAGGTATCTCAGAAATGCATGTTACAAGCATTTGCTTGCTTTGAAATTTTTCCCTATAAATTTTCTGCCTTCCTATCAGAGCTCAAGTTACTATATAAAATATATCAGCTCTGAAAGGTTTGCAAGACCCATAGATGAAAGACTCACCAGGTGGAGCAGGCTCCGTTGTGACCGGGGCAGTAACTGGCTCTAGGAAAGGAAACAGAAACATGAATTTCTAGTTTTGCTACAGAGAATGCTTAATAACTTTCTTCAGTTACTATGTGAAAAAAAAAAGAGAAAGCAGTAGTGGTATAGGGCAACCCATTCATCTCTGGAAGCATCGTCACTAAAAGGGAGAAGGCTGCAAACCCTTTTTTAACTGCCAGGTGTTAATGGTTGCAGTTTTCTTGCAGGTGAAATCTTTAATTGTTTTAGGTGTGGAACATACTCAAAGAGACACGTGTCTGTTTGGGTCATGGGTTTAACTCTGCTTGAGGTCTTTACTAAAAATCTTAACTCTGGAAAACTGGGAGTTGGTTTGGAAAAATCCTAAAGGAAGTTACTAAATATAATTTCCTACTAGATACAAGAAAAGGAAAACTGGTTTGCTAGTCGTAGTTCATAATTTAAGGGAAATCAGGAATAGGAGGAGTGAAATGTAATAGTCATGATATAAAATTATAGTTCAAATAGTAATGCATAAAGCCGTCAAGTAATAGAGTAGGAAATGGGGTAAGATAAAATTGACAATGATATTCCAGGTAGCCAAAGGATCTGAGAATCTGAGAATTAAAATCACAGAATCACAGAAGTTGGAAGGGACCTCGAAAGCTCCCCCAGTCCAACCCCTGCCAGAGCAGGATCACCAGAGCAGTCACACAGGAACACGGCCAGGCGGGTTTTGAATGTCTGCAGAGAAGGAGACTCCACAACCTCTCTGGGCAGCCTGGGCCATGCTCTGGCACCCTCACAGTAAAGAAGTTTTTCCTCATGTTCAGGTTGAGCCTCCTGTGCTCCAGCTTGCACCCATTGCCCCTCGTCCTGTCATTGGCTGTCACTGAGCAGAGCCCGGCTCCTTCCTCCTGACACTCGCCCTTTCCAAATTTATAATAAAACAAAAAACTAAACCACAAACTTGTGTGAATAAACTGCACGAGTTAACAAAAATTAAAAATGTGGTAAAACACAGCAATTCTCATAGGTCTGAACCAATTGCACTGATGGAAACAGGCTGTGCATCAAAACCTTAGCTGCAGGCCAGCTTGCTTTGCTCACAAAGCAATAGTTCATGAGAGATGCGCTCGTGTACCTGCACAGACGACGCCAGCATCCTCCTTATGGTGGCAGTTATGGACAGTGGGCCCCATGTGGGAGCACTCCCACAGGCTGTTCTCATCCCCTGTGCACTGCACTTCATTGAGGAGGATGCTCCCATGGCCTGGACCGAACTGGGCTTCCGACACGGCCAGCAGAGCTTCTCCACACCCCAGGCTCTTGCAGACCACCTTGGCGTTGGCCATCTCCCAGCCGTCATCGCACACCGTTCCCCAGCTGCCGTTGTGGTAGAGCTCGACGCGGCCTGAGCACCTGCCAAGACCGTCTGTCAGCCGCAGGGTCGGGGCAGAGGTATTTGCTGAGGAGAAAGAGCCCACATCGTGCATTAGTGGTGTCTACCCAAGGTGGTGGCACAGCCCATCTTCACAACAAGTACCAACCATCCCAGTGAAGGCAGGAGTGCATACCCAACAACATCATCTGCTCTGACAAAAGGATCCTATCCTGAATTTCAGAACTCTTGTAGGATATTAGAGATGCTCTAAACCATCTTCCTGCATGTGATACCCAATGGGTATGGGTATAGTCCTCTTCCATGACGTGTTTATCTCTGGGAAGAATTATGGATGCTCACCTGTGCAGCTGGTTTTTTGAATTTGTGCAACAGAGGGAAAGTTTTCTGCCTTTTCTTTACCACTGTTCTCATCTTTAAAGGAGAAATGCAACTACCCAGAGCCAACCTTTTCCTGGGACACCTTGCCATCTAAGGGATATGGTTTGGGGTTTTTTGGTCTTTTTTTGTGTTTTTTTCTTTTTTTTAATCCTTTAAATAATACCTGGTTCAGCTTCTTTTCCCATCCTTGCTAACCCTCTGGCGTAACAGATGGTGTACACAGCATCTTTTCCCCAGAATAGCAGCAGAGCTGTTTCTACAGAGCAGGCTCATTTTGGAGAGCTGGGTACTTACGAAATACTCCACATATTTATCTCACTTTCAGAGGGAAAGGCTTTTAGAGATCTGAAGTTTCAAATTAGTTTTATGGGCCTGGAGTGTATTTTTCTTTCAGAGAAAGAAATCAGAGACACTGCCGACAACATAATTGAGTTCCTCCTAGTTTGTGGCCATCATAAACCACACCAAGTATACACACCTGTCTTACTCCTTGGTGGGTCAGTGATTACGAGGTTTTCATTTTGGGACATTTTGCTGTCACCTGGCAGCCATTTGTAACCAACTAATGCACATCCATTCCCAACGAGGGCCATGTTTCCTAGGACTCTTTCTCCTTAATCCCTTTTTGCTGACTGTGATCAAAGCTCCTTCCACCTGACTACCACGCTTATCATTTACTTCTGCAAAAGTTGACTGTAAAGAAATGCCAGCAGCAACGTGCCTGGCTCACTTCCCAAACTTCTGCAAGGCCTTCAAATATGATTTCAGGGAGAAAAAAAAATACATAATTGAGACAAAAGATAAATAACCTGTTGATCCAGGTGTTGAATATTCACAGTGATGGTGCAAGTTGTTAAATAAAAAGAACTGGATTACATCAGCTATCTAAATCCAAGCGGGAATAGTGAGAAAGAGGCAGATTAGAAATTCTATGTCCAGATCTTGATTTAAATTACAGGCAGAAATAAATTTGTTGTGATTCAGCTGATAGAAAAAATGGCCTTGTTGAGCTGGAGGAATCTTTCCTATTAAGTTTCTAAGTAAAGAAGTATTTAATTAATCTGAAATATGAACAGCAATCTGAATTTTTCGTGGGTACTTTTTTGGAAAATAAAGGACTGATTAAGTAACAGTCCCAAGAATCTTTAATGTGTTCTTCTGGGGGTGTCTACAGCCAGCTGAAAGGTAAATTTTTTTACTTTCAGCAAATTTATAAGAGAAAATAATTGATATTTGTATCTCTTCGAAGTTAATGCCTTGTGCTTAGTTAAGTGTAGAATGTAACCAAATGAATCAGTAAGCATTTAGTTTTCCTGAGGCTTTAACACTAACCACAGTTTACCTGCAGTATATACAAATGATAGTAATGAGATTATTACTTAGAACTATAGAAAAGCCTTTTTTCCCCTTTAACCATTGAAAAACATCCCTGTTACACACAGTATGCGTGAATAAGATGAAATTGTTTGCTCAGATACTTGGTTGAGTAGACATAAGCAAAGCACTGAATTGTTGCAAGCACTTCATCCCATAGTAATTCTTAGGAAAACATACATACATCATGCGTGAGGTTCCTTAAGCCTGCTTAAAGAAACAGATCACTCATTTAAGAAATTAACGTTCAACTTCTGAAAGCCAGGCAAATCAAAGTAAATATTGAGGGAACATGTTCATTTCTTAGTTTCGCTGGTGTGTGCAAAGAAGTGCAGATTTAATTCAGCTGGAATAGAGCCCAGACAGACTAAGTAAGGCAAGCAGCAAAAGCTGATCAAAGCTCTGTAAGATATTCTTCAAAGCAGCAAAGTTTTCTTTTCTGTCCTTTTGAAAGTGAAATGACTGGCAGGAAAAAGGTGGAAAATCACTGACTGAAATTTCTTCTTCGCTGTGCTGCAGATTTGTCTGTTCATATCTAAGATGCCTGTAGAAATTAGGGTGCATAGATCCTAGATCTAGAACATGAAAATATTGCTCAAAATCAGGTTACTGGGTGGAGCAAATCCATATTACACTCTCCAGTACTGCTGCTACTGGCATTGAGTCACAGCCCTGAGCTTCTGATAACAGAAAAGATAAGGCTGTAGAAGGCAAACAGTATTAACAAAAGGTCATAAAGAGAAGAATTATCAGTTGCCTTGCTAATTGTTTGTCATGTTATGCAGCATCCTGGACTAACAGATGGTGAAGCAACCAGCCACAGCCACCGCACTGCAATGGGATGCTCAGCCCTTGTCACTGAAACTGGGACAGTACAGAGTGGCAGAAGGAAAGGTGAGATCTGTGCGCTCTCTGGAGGACAGGCTGAGAACTCGAAGTGATCTTCATAGTCTGAATAAATGTCAAAAATCAGCAAGCTGAAATTCAATAAAAACAGGTGGAATGGGCTGCTCGTTGGAAAGAGAAAACTGATGCACAATGGCACAATGGTCCTTGCAGCTGGCACAGAAGGACCATGAGACAACTGGGAGCTGGTAATGGTAACACTACGGTTAGCCTGTCCAGTCCCAGTATCGCTTGCAGAGATACACAGGGCTACTCATTCTCCTTGGCGCTAAAGAGACCTCATCTGCTCAGCTGGTGACTGCACATTTAAGGAAGATAGAGACATGGTTTAATGGACATGGTGATGTTAGGTTGATGGCTGGGCTTGATGATCTTAGAGGTCTCCTCCAATCTTAATGATTCTGTGATTCTATAATCAGGAGAGCTTGGATGAATGAACCAAGAATATTGGCTGGGAAATCGTGAGCTCTGAGGAAAGATTTACAGAGCTGAATTCAGTTTATGTGGGAAGTGCCCTTCTGAAAAGGGTTCTGAAGATGATGGCCACAAATTCCTCTGCAGAGAGCTATATGAGCAACTGTAGAAAATGTCCATCGACAAGAGAATTTTGAATATAGTGTCTAATGTGATTTTTTCTATGTCTTGAAAATACCCATCAAGTTCAGAGGCAAAGTACACATAGTCCTCTCACTTGGTAGATGTTTTCATGGGAATTTAAAGCCTACTGGTCCTATTAATTTCTGCTTCAATAGAAGAGGAGGTAGGACAGCACAAGTTGGATAGGAAGGTCCCAGCTCAGCTGATGGCTGATGTAAAACAGCCCGGTCTGGTGAAATTCTGGTTTTAAGATTTTTTTAAAGACTTTTTTTTTGGACTTTCTGAGCCCCAAATGGTGCCTTGCATGGTGATGCAAGACACAGAGTCCTAACCTCCTAAATTTTTGCTCCTAAACAAGACAAAGCACACAGGTTGTATCTGACTTGTCCTTACCTTCGCTCAGAGTGGACAGCGGTGTTGGGGTTGTCAATGGCTCAGCACTGTCTGTGACTGGGGCAGATGTGAACAAGTCGTCTGTCACGATATCTGTTGAAGCTTTGAGGGGAAAAAAACACAATAGGAACAATGAACAATAATGACCAAACGTGAATATGAAACAGAATTAAATTTTTGTTGAAAATTATCTGGATTTGTTATTTTGCCAGAAAAGCGTGAAAATACAGGAAACTTTGTTTCAGAGAAGAAACAAGGACTTATCCCTTGTACTTCGTCATCATAATAAATACTTAAATTTGGATTTTTAATCTTCTTAACTGCTGGTAAGTGAAGCAATATGTTCTTAGTCCTCCTAATTAAAACCTCATTGCATACATTTTTCCATACAGTATGGCTTTCCCTTAGCTCACTTAGACCTATATTTGATTTTGCAACTATAACTTTGTCTTTGTAAGCCTGCTTAGGATGAGGAACACAGCGATGTTGAAGGGACTGTGAAATGTTGAGGAAATACTTTATTGGAGAGAAGCATCGATCTCCTTGGGGAGAGAGTCCAGCAGAGATGAGTAGAAAGGTTTAGAGACCCTACTTCTGTACCATGTCAGGTGGTGGCATCTCCAGCTTTAGGATTGGGAAAGAATCTGATGTCACAATCTGATTTAATCGTTGGTGCTCTCTGCTGTTAAGTATTCAGTTTTGCCCAGACAAAAGCACTGATTCCTGAGCACCTTTGCTAATACCTAAATTTTACAAATAGTACAAGCAGCTTAAAGCCCCTAATGGTTCATAATTACATAACTCCCAAAATTTGACAGCCCAATAGTTTAGAAATGGTTTCAGAAGCTGAATTCTTTCTTCATTGAGATGATTATTTAGCAGTCGACTGATCTTAAACTTTATCAGTTATTGTAATCCTACCAATGTAATCTGCTTTAAACAAACTTAAACTCTAATTATTAGATCTTTTTTATGGCATAGTGTCTGTTCTTACCTTCAGCAGCTGTGGAAAGGGTTTCTGGAGCTGAAGTAACACCATCTTTTACAAGTTCATAATGACATAACTCCCAAAATTTGGCAGCCCAATAGTTTAGAAATGAAGGTTTCAGAAGCTGAATTCTTTCTTCATTGAGATGATTATTTAGCAGTCGACTGATCTTAAACTTTATCAGTTATTGTAATCCTACCAATGCAATCTGCTTTAAACAAACTTAAACTCTAATTATTAGATCTTTTTTATGGCATAGTGTCTGTTCTTACCTTCAGCAGCTGTGGAAAGGGTTTCTGGAGCTGAAGTAACACCATCTTTTACAAGTGGAGCTGGTGAGACAGCTGGATCTGCAGTATTGTCAGAGGCTGAAAGAAGGAGGAAGAACCATGAAAATGAAGGAAAGAGCATTCAGGTAAGGCTTAATGACTGAAAGCAGCTTTTGATGAATTTAATTGGCTTCAGGCTTTGTGGAAAAGGAAGTCTGTCCACATCTGCTGATATGGCTCAGAAATGGATCTTCCTGTTAATGTTTTGCACATCGAGCATCAAAACCATTTCAAACTTCTCTCACCGAGAGTGAGAAAAGCAAAAGGAGTGTGAAGAGCAAAAATAAAAATGAGTATTGTAATTTGGCAGTAACAGGTATTGGTATACAGTTGTAGTAGTTGTCTGCTATGAGTATTTTACAGACTTACATGGTTACATATTAATCCAGCTGAAAAACCCAACATAACAGAAAATTTGTTTTAAATAGTGCTTGCAAAATGGCTGTTCTTACCTTTATAAGCTGTGGTTGGGATTTCGGGAGCTGATGTGGCCTTTTCTTCTGTGACAGCAGTGGGTGCAGCAGATGTAACTGAGGCCAAGAGAAAGTTGAGGAGGTTAAAAGGAGATATTGGCATCAATTAGGAGCGAACATGTGAACCCAAATGTTGATGAAAGTAAGTAGGTTTGGTCTTGTGGGACAGTGAGTCAATGCTTAACTCTATTTTTGCTGAAAAAAAGAGTTTCACCCTTATTTAATATTTAATAATAAAATAGATATATCTGACTGCATTATTCTACTATGAAAGGAGCAATAGTCATTTGGAAAGATGCAAAGTGGCTGTTTTGAGGGGAAATAAAGAATGAGATTTGTCTTGTGCTTTGGAAGTGACCTCCAACACTGAAGTGTGCCTCACCTTCCTTGTGGATTGTTGAGGTCCCTGCAGTGGTTGGTGTCTCTGTCCCTGCTGGGCTCGTGGTGGGCGCAGAGGAGGAAACTGTGGAGGTGGCTATAGGGTGGGGAAATAAGTTATTAACCAGGAACACCACCATGTAAAACAGAACACATTTCAAGGATCTGTGAAATCATCAATACTTCAGACTTCATGGAGAAGAAAGTCAATTTCTCAGTCATTAGCTTGTGGCTGAGGAGAATGACTTCTAATTAGTAATTATAAGTGGACCTGGGAGACTGATAAATTAGTGCATGTCTCAGCAGGGTATAAACACACCTTACTTCAATTCTACTTTTGCCTTAACTTAAGAACCAGGAAAAATTAAGCAAGATTATTAAAAGAATTGAAGGTGAAGAAAATATCCAGTTAAGAGCGCCTGAGATGAACCTATAGTAAAGATCTCACCATGCATACATGCAGTCTTGATAACTGTACATGCAGGTAGACTAAATCACATGCCTACATGCCCTCCAACCACATTTTGCTATGAAAACCAAGATGATGTTGGCCACTGGCTCTCCCAAGGCTAATTCCATGCAGAGCTATTAAATAATTTTCCTGAGTTCACAGTGTTCCTCCTGTCTGCTCTAAATAAATTGCATATTTTACTCAAAATTTCCCCACATGGGATTCGTGGTTTGTTTTTTTCCCCTTGCTTTTGCCAGCAGAAGCCAGAGGTTCTGTGGTAGATGTCACAGCAGTGCTGCCTGTGGAAAATGTGGGGGCAGAAATGGAAGTTTGGGGCTTTTTTGAGGAAGACACATTATTAGAGAACTGTAAGAATGTTCATGAGAACTGAAACATTGGTGAAATAATTCAAACACTGGGTGTTGTGCAGCACTGGGTTAATGTGGCAGAGCTTAACTTCTGGTAGCATGGGTGACATTTCCGTCAGTTAATGGCAGTTCTAAATGAACTGCCCAAATCTTTGCCAGTGGTGCCATCAGTGCAAAAATAGATGTGCAGAGTGCAGCAACAGCTCAGGGCTACCACAGTGTGATTTTGCAGGTCCGTGTCTTGAGGGGAAATAATTTTGGGAACAACTCCTTCATTTCTGGGCTACATATGATCAAAACCTGCATTTTAGTGCCCACTCCTCTGTGGCTAGGTATTATGAAGAGCATCAGTGATTAACTCAAAACTTAAAACCCCGGAAAAGATGTGTAACATTGGTACTTTAAGGTTTCCAGGGTGCTATGATTATTTCAGGAACAGTAAAAAATCCAGGAACCAGAAACTTAGACCTGGAGTGTTTTTCCTAATTAGTAGTAGATGAGTGGCAAATACAGTTCCTATAAACAATCCAAAGAATAGAAATAATGTTACAGTGGATGAATTAATAGCAATTTGGAGCAAAAATTAGTAATTCAGAGCATGTACCATTCTAGAATGCTGTCTACCAAGGAGCTGTAATCTCATGATTTTTGAGTAAAAAATTAGTCTGAGCATTTGGGAAGACCAAGAAGAGGTAATGGACTCGTGTCTCAAAAGCCCTTCCTTACCTTTTGGTTCAGCCGTGGAGCGTGCCACACCTGTAAGCATGGAAAAAAGGGAAAAAATTACTTTTATTGTGCAGTTATTTATGTTACTTCAAAATAAGCTGCTTCTAACTATGCAGCCTTTGGTTTCAGTTATGTTTATGTCACAAGCATTAATTTTGATTTTCAATTCAGACAGACTTGGTGCACACCTGAAGGGGCTTCTATCTCCTCTTAACTGGTTTCCTTTCTGATTTTGGCAATGGCCTGTAATCAGATGTTGACTTAAGTGTCCTGAACCATCTTCTTTTCACCATTTCCATATGCAGTGCTTGCTGCTACCTGTCTTGGTATTTTGGCCATCTTTTTCTTCCTGCATCACATAGACCAGCCTAAATACAAGGAGCCTAGTCATGCAAACAGTTCAGCTCTAGTCTGATTTCCAAGCTCTGCTCTGCTGTTCCTTGTCTTTTTGGTCAACAGGAAAATCCAAATAGATTTTTAAGAGCACATAACTTTTTTTACCTGAACAGATGACGCTGACATCCTCATGGTGACCACAGTTATGTCTGCCCCAGCCGGCGTGCTGACAGTCCCAAAGGTAAGATTCGGTTCCCTTACACTGCACATCATCCAGGTGGATGCCTGCTCTGCCACGGCCAAAGTAAGACCCTCCCAGGACAGAAACAACTTCACCACAACCAAGCTGTCTGCATACAACACTGCCACTCTTCATATCAAAGTGATCGTCACACACTGTCCCCCATTTGCCTTTATAGTACACGTCCACCCTCCCGGAGCATCGGTCCCCTCCAAATACCAGTCGCAGTTGTGGGTTTTCTGGACCTAAAGCAAAAACAGACAGGTAAACATCTCAACTTGATTATTGCCAGGGTATCTAAACTTGGTATGCCTAAGCTTGCAACCCCTGTGTTTGCGCTCAGGAGCGTGTCTCACCCTCTTACCTCTGGGTCTAAATGTGTTCTCTATCCATTGTGTAAATTTCTGCCATACCGAGTTTTGACCTCCAGGTTCTGAGTCTCCCTGTGAGTTCCACCGCGTACCACTTGCTGTGGCAAAGAAGAAAGTATATTAGCATTGATGTAACATACCACAATTCTCAGTATATTTTATGTTTTGCAGTGAGATGGTACCCAGATGATACAGAGTTACATACAGCAAACATGTGGTGTGTTTTTAAAGCAATCCTGCAATTTCCTCCTTGTGTCTGGAAGGAGGCATTTATTTCCTCATAGTTCAGTGGATGATTATAGAGATCTTTATTTCATGGCAGCACAAAGAGCAAAGGGATCCAACCCCAGAAATCCTCATGTCCATCCTTTACCTCCAGAGACTTGGGCTTCTCGGAGCTGAACTCTGCCAAATTTCACTGGGGTAGTAGAAGGGGTTACTTGCCTTTGCTAAAGGTATTGAAAACTGCATATTTGATTAAACCAGGCCATGGCATCATGGTTCAGATAGCAGGGGATGAAATATTCTTCCAAAATAGAGTATAAACATGTAGTATGATCATGTGCTTTTGATAATTTGTAGTTTTACTCACACAAACACCTTTGAAAATATAACATGCATACATATATTGACTGAAAGAAAAAAGGAGTCAAAGCCATGATTTCAAATGACAGCTTTTGAAAATAGTATCTTTGCTCTTCCAGAACTAGCATGCTCTGAAGACCTGTGCCTGATTCAATCACTAAAATCAGGAGAAATTTCATTTGGGGATTTTTTTCTCTTTGTTTTCAAATTGGCATTTGATCTGCAGGCACTCACTTTCACAGACTTTCACTTTAGCAGTATTAAAGTCTTGGGTTTGCAAGACAGAATCCTAAGTGATTTTTCCAGTCAAAGTTAATCCAGTCTACATCAGGTCAAATCAAAGACAAAAGTGAACTATGGAATAAGGGCAGAGATGATAGCGTTGCTGAAGTGCTGGCATTTGACCACCTTCTTGAAATACAACTCAGTCCTTTTTGATGCTGAACTTCCCTGTAGGCTGACTTTTGCTCTTGTCTTATAAATAATTCATTATAGCCAACCTCTTAATCCACACTCTATGAAATTATCTCTTTTTGTAAGTAATTGACAAAACTTTATTCATGGTGCCCATGCTGGCTATTAAAGATCAAAGTATCTCATTCAAGTAAGCAAGATTATAAGGAAGGTTTGGGGTTGTTGTTGTTTGAGGTTTGAAGGAACATGGCATTGCAAAAGAGTATATTTCCTGGGTCTGGCAGGATGCTCTGTGTTTGTTTTTCTCTCTTTCTCTACATCTTAAAATGTACAATATAGGAAAATTTAAAATCAAAACTAGATTATTAGAAGATGCATGTTTAGAGAAAAACTTCCCCAAACTATTCCCCTCACAGAAGAGAAATAAAGAAAGTAGTCTTCAGCCTTTTTCAGCCTATAACATTCATGTAGGTTATATTTTGAATTATAATTTGATGATTTTATTTGAATCTTTGAATTAGAAGTCAAATTAAACCATCAATTTTATGTACAAAGTTTGTCAGCGATGTTCTAAGAGACTGCCACCACTCCCCAGCAAGCCAGTCTGTATTAGTAGCTTGTTCTGACTGTAACATTTCCCTGAAAACATGAAGAAAAATAAATAAGGCGTCGTACCTGGTTCAGATAGAAGAGCAGCACTTAACAGAAGCAACCAGGTGAGACTCACGTGAGGGCCCATTTTCGTCGTGGTGGTCTGTTCTCACCCAACGCAGCCTCAGAATTTATACGAAATGAGTTCTGGTCTACACCAGAGGCGTGTGCTCTGCAATTTGATCTTTCTTCCTGAACTTCCAGATCAATGCCAAGGAAGTGATTTACTGAGTATTTTCATTTCACTGGGTACATCCAGACATCCGGATGAGTAGATCCAGATCACGGCGCTGTTCCGGACTGGCTACCAAGAATCTTCCCAAACACTCCCCAGGCACCTTTGTGGCCAAGTGCTGGCGATGTGGTTGTTCCAGGAAGCAGTGATTTACTTTTGGAGATTAGGCTGTTTGGTAAGGATTCCCATGCCACCAGTTAAGTCAGTTTCCAGTTTACAACCACGCTAAACCAGCTTAAACTGGTGAGAACTGTGCCAAAAGATTAGCATCCTAAAAATGTCAGGAAAGCCTCAACCAAATTCTCTCTGTCCTCTATAGGTTACTCCTGTAAGAAGGAGTTTTAATGCTTTTCATATTTCTCTGAGTCCTCTTCAACCTGGGACTAGATCTCTCCAGCATGTTCCAGATCTGCAGTTATATCTCTTTTGTAGCCTACAGAGCAATAAAACAGCTATAGGAGAGGTTGGCCAAGGCACGGTTGGGTGAGAAGAACCGCTTTTGGGGGTAAATAAGCAGGGCAATTGCTGAACTACAGCAGTCAAGGAAATGGAGCAAGATAGGTGCTAAATTAAGCTGAAACTCTGCAAATCAAGGAGTCTGTATGTGAAAACAGAGGGGCATGACCAGCTGCCATGCCCTGTTCTAGGGAAGACCAGTATAGACTGAAGTCATGGAGGCCTATGCAGTGACCTACACCAGTTTGCTGTGCTCTCCAAGGAAATGGTGAGCACTGATGGAGCACAGTAAGGAAAATCCAAGTGATCCTTACAAGCCACGAAGTTGCCGAAGCAAACCAGTAACCTACATTACTTTAAAACAACCACAAATACTGGTCAAAATGAAGAGTCCACTAACAATTTATGCCCTGTTGGCCATCTAGCAGTTTCACAGCTGGCCTGTTTCTGACCAAACTAGGCTGACATTTTCTCCTTATCTTCAAAGGCCAAGCACACATGGTGTCTGACAATCCTATGTGTTACATCTCTCATCAGCTATGACTGCACAGAACATAAAGACGTGGAGCCTTTGTGCATTAGGACCTATAAGACATGCTTTTGGTTTGGTGAGATCTTACACAAAAGAATTGAGGCACAATGTATTTTTCAGGTGAAGGGGAGAAACTATAAAGAGGTTTATATTCTACTGGCAAGAGATATGAGATCATGGGATGAGAGGCAAAAGATATTGTAGTGCTGGTATAAATACGAATTAATAAAGGACTTGGAAAAAGCATGAAAAAAAGTCATCATTAAGAGCAAATGTACAACAGGTCATGCTGGAAATTATCCTTTCCCACTTGTTTTCATGGTATCATTTCAGGTTAGGTGACTTGCATGAAAAAAAACAGAATTCCACCTAGGAAGACCATCCTGTACAGCTGGGAAAGATTTGCCTCCAGCAAACCCATGAATTTAGCAGGATCCCTCCAGCCACAGAGTTTTCTCCCTGGTATGAAGTGGTGGTGTCAACACCATCCTGGACTCTGATATCCCAAAGGGCGCTTTCAGCTCTGGACTGGCAGGGATAAGACGAGTCTCAGCTAGAACAAGGAAGAAAGCAAAGCTAAAGGTTTGTAGCCAATTTAAAAATGAAAATAAATTATTTCTGTCCATGAATGCTCTTATTATTTTCTTAACACAGTATTACATGCAATATCTATCTACAAATCCATGTTCTTCCCGTCACAATACCTTCTTGAGCAAGAACCGTCACATCAGGTATCTGAGCTCCTAGTTCCGTGTGGGGATTACTTTAATTCAGTGTCATTTCCTGAAGTGACTAAGTGGGTTTGTTGCAGATCCTTATCAATATATTTCTATCCAAATAGCTCTAAGCTGGGCCTGAACAGTACAGTATGTACTAGTTTTCTTTCCTGACAGCACTTAAGCAATTTAAAACAAACATTTTTTCACTTTCAAATGGAAAAGAACTTTTAGAAACATTCTAAAACTACAGCCGAAACCTCAGGAAGATTTTTCTTCTCAAAACAAAGAAAAAAAAAATCTTATGATTTGACCCAGATCTAAGTGCTCTTGATTTAAAGGTTTGGATCTGAACAACTTCACGTGGAAGACACGGAAGTCTGATATGCATGTGCCATTTCAGTGCACTTCGTATCCACCTCATAATGAACTTATCTCTTCTTTGGCTGCTGCTGGACTTTCAATAATAGTCTCTCTAGGAAATGTAAAGTCCTGTAGAAATATCTAACGTGTCAGTCCAGTGACCGAGACAAACAGCCTGCTCAGCAATAAAGCTAATTGTCCAAGAAATCCCATGCAGCTGGTGCATGGTGTTAATGGAAAGTGGGGACATAATTCACATTATCAAGTTGTAGGCACCTAATCTGTTTATAAACTGAGTTCTTGATCGGTGGTGTTTTGGTGTACCTCTATTTGGAGCCTAGGTAGAGGGGTAGGAAAGTATGGCTGAACGCAAATAAAGGAGATTTGATTTTTCAGTATTCTTCAGTCTTTTTTACAAAACAGGCCCTGAAGAAGCCCTTAGTCCCAGCAAACACGATGAGGGCTGAGGACTTTGGTACCCAGCTCCTGCCTCGTGAGGTTGGGTCTCACCTTTGACTATTTACACCGTATTTAAGGGGTAATAGTGGTAGGTGCGAGAGCTAGCAAGGGCAGAAGGTTTTTACAGTGAAATACAAAGACACAGGGGCCTGTACACACTCAGGAACATACATTTGGATATGTGACAGATTCTCCATAGGTTACATGATACCAAGGAGCAAGTTCTCCATGCTGTTCTGCAGCTCTGACTGGGCAACTCCTCCAGCATTACCAAACAAAAGTAAGCTCACCAAAAGCATTTAAACACCCACTTTTCACAGAAATCCATACTATTATAAAGTCCATGAGGATTTGTGTCTATTATGGGTCTAACACAGTCTAAGGGGCTAAAAGTAAGGGCAAAATGCAAAGCTGTTCTGGAGGCTCCTGCCACTGGAGGGCAGCCAGGCACTGTCCTTGGGGAATGAGCACCTCTCTGGATATACCAGGATCCTTTATGTAGGGTCCATAAAGAGGCCTCCACTTTAGAGAATACCTTTAAAAGTAAGCAGAGATGAAGATAAACATAAGAGAGAGCTACAAACAGCAGAACAGTGGTTTCCATTCCTTACCTGTCTCCTGCTTGAGGATGGAGGAGATGTCTCTGCCCAAATGGAGATCAGGTGAAACACTGGCCCACCTCAGGCA